CAACCGAAATGTGAACGATGCTAAGAGGTGGGGATGATATCCACAGGAGTCAGGCGAACACGTGTGGGTGGCCGCGCAAGAATCACGGAGGGACCTAAAAACAAAGAAGTCTCCTAGTTTTTCCCCAACAGCTGAAAGCTTTGGGGTCTCAGCCAGATAGGCTCCGGGGCGGGGCGGCCCTGAGGTTTTACCAGTTCCACCAGGGTTCCACCACCAGGGTTCCACCAGGGTTCCACCAGGGTTTTACGAGGGTTCCACGAGGGTTCGCATGCTGTTGGGGATATCACCTGAGCTTATTGTTATAAGGAGACTCCTTCATGTTCGGATCTGAAGAAGAAATGAAATTGTGTGCTCTTAGATGTTGACTCTACACAAATTGTAATTTCCAATGTTTGAAATGTCTTCGTATTTGCAGCATTGTTTCATCAAGGAAGCAGCCTGCCTTATGTAGCATGTTCAGTCTCCTTTGTCTTTGGGTATGCTGTTGATAGAATGATCCTCAAAATGAAGTCAAGAGTCTTGAGCGCCATGTTTGTTTGTTGGGTGTGTTTTCCAAAAACCTGCCAGGAAAGAAGAGGCAATCCAACGAGTGGTACGCTGATTCTCGTGGCTGGCCCCACCGCACCACAGAGCAGAAGAAGAAGAAGAAGGACAAGGAGGACAAGGAGGAGAGTGCCTACAAGAAAGCTAAGGTGGTTGACCGGGAGAAAAGAAGAGGATGAGGGGGAGGGGGAGGGCTTGCTGCCTGAAGATCCGAGGCACAAGCCCCTCCTGGGTGGTGATCATGAGAATCATGACAAGGGGGGCGGTGGCGGTGGTGGACCAAGTGCAGTTCCTGTACGCTGAGTCGTTTGATGGATGGAGAGAGATTGGATGAAAAAAGGAGTGCTGTGGCTGGGGGAGGTAAAGCGTTGTTAAGGCAAAAAAGGAGACTAGTCTCCTCAGGAGACTCCTTCATCGTATGCATGGCAATCTCGACTTCAGAAAAAAAACGCACCACATTTGCAAAAGGAGGCGTCAACGCAAAGAAGTCTCCTAAGGAGACTCATTCTTTTAGGAGTCTCCTTCATGAAAAATGGTCACAACATGTGGGAATCTGGACACAACACTCTTGCGAGTGGAGTACTGTAGCCATGCAAGATAAAACCCAAGACCAATGTTACACCCAAATACTTTCAGTTTGATTGATCTAGACTCCTATGCAACAAGGAGTCTCTCAAATAGAAAAGGTGATGTCATGGACAGTCAACACATGGATACATCACATCAGAGCATGACCAAATTCAGCTGTATTTGACCTTGAAAATTAGAAATAATTTAATTTAACTTATATTTAGCTTGAATTCTAAAACATTTTTAGTAAAGAAATTAGATGTTAAATATGTTACGCGTTAGTTAAATCTAATTTGACTTTCAAATAATTAACTTTATTGAGCTCTGGAACCTTTGCATTTGCATTTCAACTTGCCTCGTGTTGATGCTTATATTTGCACAGCTCCTAATCATTCAAAGATTGGACGTTCCTCCCATCAAGATATTATGCCTGCTCCTGGTGGTTGCCAATATTGCATATTTCTTTGTTGCCTCCTCAAATGTAGTCCTTGAGAGTCACTCTCACATAAGAACACATTGCTTGATGTTAAATGCTTATCTGACGTGAAAGACACATGGTTCAAATGCTGATTCTTGCAAAGTCATTTGAGAATGTACCTTAGATCTGGCTCAGAGGTCAATTGTGTGTATTTTATCTTAGGATACTCATGCCAAACAAAGGCACCGCAAAGAAGCCAGCTGCCAAGTCCTCTACAAAGAGCAGGGAAAGAAAAATAAACAAGCCAACATGGTTACCCAGCTGAGGCAGGCAGCAAAATGGCTTTGCTCGGACCCTCCTTTGACTGAGAAGGCCAGAGAGGACTTGGAGGTCAAGAACAAGTTTCTGGATGCCTACGATTCCCTTCCAAGGTTTTCTGGGGAAAAGGAATGCTGAACAGCTGAGAAAGTGGTCGAACATGCAAGAAGCAGCTGATCAATTACAAGCGAGTCCAATCCTCGGAGGTGAACACAAGGGAGGCTTCTTCTGGTTCGCTGACACGGCTCTTGTTTGTAGAACCCAGTACGTTTTGTAGTTGTCATCCCTGGACAGCCCTCCTTTGTTGAAGATCCTCGAGAACATGTGACAGGACAAGGAGTGGGACCTGTCAATTCCCCGTGAGAAAGCACTACATGATCTGGATGAATGGCGCTACAACTGTTTCGCAAAATGGACATGACGAGCATCACCAGGACATGAGTCTAAAAAAACAAATCGTTGCCGGCGACAGCTAAAAGCCTGTACTCAAAAAGGAGGCTAAGTCCAAGCCAGAATTAGCCCAAACAGGCTGAGTTGTCCAAGATTCTTCAGCAGATGTTTGCCATGCTCGAACTGCTGGCACTTTGCTAGTGCAGGGTCATAAGAAAGTCAAAGCACTCTATGAACATATGGAGGCTGTGGCGGCTGTGACTTGGCGAAAAACCCAAATCTTGGGTTAGAGGCAGACAGCTTGGAGAGGAGCGCCTTGCCGTGTTTGTGAGGCAGTGACAAGACCATGGCAGTGACCGCAAAAGGTTTTTGTTTTTTTTGCAATCTCCTTTCAAGAAAATATTTCATCTCCTTTGACGCAGGTTACCATGATTCAAAACAAACACGTGCAGTCTACAGCATTTGCGAGTCCAGTCCAGCTTGGTGCTGCTTGGCACTTACATCAGGAGCACCAAGCCAAGAGAAACCTAGTTGCAACCAGATGTTCTCTCCTTATCCTTTTTGTCTTTATAGCTGACGCATAAACATTGACATGTCTTCCGGACTGTCTTCCCCTTTTTGTTTGCAGGCATGTGCCTCCAGGACTGTGTGAGTTTAGCCTAGCCGACATGTTGAAATTGCTATGGCAACTTTTTTTGCTGTTCGTGCAGGTGTCAGCTATGTACAAGACCAGCACAACTGGCCTCGTGCGTGCGCCTCCCCAAAAAAGACTGCGTGCTGATGCGGGCAACTTATATTTAGAGAATAGTGTCCCTGCCGAGAGAGTGGCCGGCCTTTTTGAGCACGCGGCCTTGGCAGGATCTGCTGCTGGCGCAAGTGGGAGCTAGAAGCAAGAGGTCTGTGGCGACGGCTGCTGAAAGGTATCTCCTGGCCAAAACTGTAATTCGCTGAGGTCAGAGCTTGGGACCCTAAGAAGCTCAAGCACGTCCTAGCAAAGTGCGCGTTGTGGCTTCCACACGAAACCATTTCGACTTTAGCAGTTGCAAATGGGATGGCTCTACGCAAGCAGCATTTCCCGGACCCCGTGCTGAAGGACCACATTGCCAAGGCATCTGCCGAGGCAGGCCTCGATGCAAGCTACGTTGTGCCTTCCGTGTGGGTGGATGGAGTTCTGTTTAACAAGCCGAGAACAAAGTCCCTGGAAGTATGCGGCATAAATTTTCCAGGCATCGGCTCTGACATTCGCATCCCACTTTTTGTTTGTTTCAAGGACTGCCTGACGCCAGACACTTGGCATGACTTGATGTCGGTGCATGGGCGTCGTCAGATCGGAAAGCGTCTTCCCCACGCTCTGCTAGTGCGAGATTGGTCTGCGTGCGAAAGCCAATTCAACTTGCCAGGGTGGAATGAGACCTCAGGCTGCTGCTTCCGGCACGGTATGGACCTCTCCAGAGTTCACGAGACAGGGCCCAGCGCGCCTTGGAAGTCTCCTGAAAGGAGACTGTCTCACCTAGATAACATACAAAGAATGAGGTCCAAAGGATGGGCGACCCCCTCTTCGGCATACCTTTCTTCGAAACTAAGATACGCGCCATAGATTGGCTGCACACTGCCGACCTAGGCATCAGGGCTATAAGTGGCTGTGGAACAAGATGACCGCTTTTTACAAAAGCCACGAGCGCTCGAGTCGACTTGACACTCTAAAGCCCTCCATGCTGGAAGGCAAGAGGATGCCGAAGTTGCGTAGCTTGGCGTGTCTGCAGAAAAACGAAAAATGCAGGGGTAGCGAAGAGAAAGACCAAAGAAATGAAAGGCAATGCAGGAGAAGCTTCAGATGGGTGGAGAAAGGGCGGAGGGGAGGGAATAAAAGCAAATACAAGTGCCTGCCGTGCCAGCATTTCCCTACCAACAAACATATGATGCTGCGACTGCTGAGGCTGTTGAGACTGCTCGTGCTTGGTCAAGATGCATCGGGCCAGCTTGCTACCCCGCCATTGTGCTTGTGCTCGTGCGTCAGTCGCCTCCAGACAAACTAGCCGTCACATCTAAGTGAGAACCCTGTTTAGTCTCGGGCCACTACAGGCTGAAATTGGCGAACCATACTCTGCCCAGTGCGGACAGTAGACAGTCGACGTCGTCTGCCTCGCTCTCTTGCGTTTGCTTGACCAATTGTGGTTGTTTAGCGCCAGCTATGGCATGCCATTGCGTGCCATACGCTGGCGGCGCCTTCCTCAACAACTCGGTGTTCGCTTGGTTTGCCCGAAATAGCCCGGCATAGACCAGGGGCTTATTCGCAAACAACTGTGTCAAGCGTGCAAGCATGTTCGGATGATCTGCATGCGGCGGCAAAGAGATCGTCGTGCAATCGTCTTCGAACCAATAATGCAGCTTTGCCTGCGACAAATTCGGATCTTGGGCGATTCGGCAGGATTCTGTATGCAAGCCTTAGATACAAGGCTTCAAGCCCGGCCCTGCCCTTCAAAACATGCCATGTGATGGCCCTGGGCGATTCCACCCCACCATCACATGCTGAAACTGTCAAAAAGAGGGCTGCTTGCCACCCTAAACGCACACCGTACATGACTTGCGCGCCCTGTGCATCCCGGTTGATACTATGGTAGGTTATGAGCCATAATCCTTTTACCTGGACCCTCAAAGACGAACAAAACGTGGATTCTCCCCAGAAGTCTAAGCACGTCCCCTCAACTCATGAGGGGCTTGGCCAACAGCACGTCGCCCCTGTCAATCTGTGGCTGCGGGCATAGGCGCTGGCTTTGGCCTGATGCTTGAGAGGCGGCTTGAAAATATCCACCAACCTTCCGCTCCAAACCGCCAATCGGAGGGAAGACACTCCAAAGGAAAAAAAAAAAAGGCATATGTTTAGTGCCCTTCAATGAAGGGTACTTGACGTGTTTTTTGAATTGGCCATAGCACCAAACAAATGAATCGAGGGCACTGAAAAGAAGCTGGACCAGAAACTTACATCAGAAAGGATTCGGGGTCGAACAGGGCACAAGATGCTTCAGGCAGACATGTTGTTCAGCGACCCTGGTAGAAAAGGGGTCAGCCATGTCTTTCTGGGGTGGACCATTGGCGAGGCCAAAACAAAACGGAAAAGCGTGCCATTGAAGTTGTGACTCAAGTGGCAAACATCAGTTCCGCTCCCAGATTCCACTCCCAAAGCGATAATTTGTTCCCAGGCTTTGCTTTTCCGACAGCGTCAACGGCACTTGTTGGGACAATGAGGCAACGTGGGTAGCTAGGACCAAATCCCCCCAAAACATGCGGTCACCTGCCCACATTTCTGGGTTGGATATTCCTGAACCCTCCCCCAAAAACAAACGGAAAAGGGATTCAACAAAACCCATTTCCATTCAAAGAATGGCCCGGCAAAAAAAACAAACAATTTGGATGGTGACAGTCCTGAGGTCCACAATATGGTGGTTATATGAACCGCAGGGACAAGCTTTGGGACGGGAAAATGATGGAAACCTATCTAGGCAAATGCAATGTTCGCTAATCTGTTTGCGCTTTGTTTTTCTGTTGCGTAACAAACACGCTCAAATGAAGATGGTCCTTTCAATCCCAAAGGAAGCCTCGGTTTAGAAGTGACGGACGCAGGATGGAAATTGCCCACTGTCAAGAGCCTTTTGACGGGGGGGGTGGGGGTTTGGAGGTATCGAGGCTATATACCATTTAAGGGGCACAGCAACCGCCAAATGGAAGCTTGTGTTGGTGGTATATCTGCGGTCTGCGCATCAAGAACTGGAAGGCAATTCAGCTACTTCGATCTAACTGGGAACCAACGCTGTGCAACGAAGAGCCCCACCCAAGCTTCCCCGGATCCAGTGGGACGCCAGGTAAAACCTGGGGCTCGTACCGATGTAGATCAGCTCCCCTCCAATCGGTGTTACGTGGATACCTCTCCCAACAATCTGGACCCTCAAACTACCCAGACAGAGAGGCAATTCACCAACCACAATCTTGGGTTGCAATCACTTCTTCTGAGGGTGATAGGTCCCCCAGTAGTGCCCTTTTACCCTTTTGTGGGGGAGGGTTCCCCTACTAAACTAGACTACATAAAAAAGGGTACCCTTATTCTAACCTCTCAAATCTGGAGGACCTGGGGTATATAGTTTTTTCGTGTCCAGGTGATTGCCTTACAGGCACGGACAAACCCGCCGAGCACATCGAGCCAGCGTAACACCGCCGATGAGATCCCGGCCTCTTGGCTGCAAAAGGCTGGCTGACCTTGCCCTTCCCGTTGCCTCACAGCTTCGCTCGCCCAAAGCGGCCACTTTCCGGGAAAACGGGGAGCCGTTCAACGCCCCCGATTTTGTGTCAACATGGGTGTGTCTCATAGCAGTTCCCGGTTTGGTTGTGTTTTACAGGCAAACCAAAAAGGAAACCGCTGCCAGCACCAACGAGAGCTGGCTGGTTTTTGCCTTCTCTCCAAAACCCCAAATCCTTGGCAGTTGATCTGCTTTTTGCGAACGACGCATTGGCTTCTTTCTCGAATGCAGCGGGTGTCTTTCGCCCTTGGCCTCTTTGCCCCCAAATCCGACTTGCTGCGGGGTGAATGGTTTTTCTTATCCCTTGTTGGTTGGCCTTTAATGGGAAACCACTAGGAAAAATCATTGCCATTTTAGGGGACCCAAATTGGGTATATCTGAAAATAAGGGACTCCCCAGAATGCTTGGTTCCCTCTAGTTTCCCTTCAAAGCCACTCTTGTATCCTGAAAAAACGATCGATTCCCACTTTAGGGGACCGATTCCTGTTTGGGTGTGTATTTTTCTGAGGGTACTCCCTCCATGTTGTTGTGAAAAAGGGGAAACCAACAGGAACACCACCATTTTGGGGGGTCCAACTTCAAAAGACACACCCGTTTTGAGAAACATTCACATTGCCCTTTCAACTGCGGCTGTGGACTTGCTGCTGACCCATCTTTGCGCTTATTGTTTTCTTGTTTTCCTCAAGAGGAAAGGGAGCCTGAGCACTCCCGTAAAGCACGCTGAAATTTGATTCCATGTACATCAACCACGCTCAACCATGACCCCGTACATCCGACCATACCATACCCAGTTCCTTGTTCCTCTACCCAGATGGTCCAACTTTGGTTTTGGTTCGAATTCGTCAAATACAAATTCCTCAGATCCGCAAATATATATATATATATATGTATATATATATATATAATAGTATATGAGATACTTGGGTGTTCGGTGAAGTTTCTAAGTTGCTGGTAACCTATGTTATAGGACCCTGTTTTGGCAAAGGTGAAATGACCTCTCGGCTGTGAAATGCAGACTCAGGTTGGAAAGCACTTTGCAGAGGCTGGTTCTCAAAAATAAACATGCCCCCAAACCAAAGCATTCCGTCCGTGCTCCTCAGGGCATCAACCCTTTAAAGACTTGCCAGGGTTCAACAGGGTCACACTGTTTAGAGACTGGATGTTTCCATAAAAGGGAACTTGAATATGTGCCAAGATAAGGGACCTGACTACAAATGGCGGATTTGCTTCTGGCTTCCCTTATATAGTAAATCAACTGTAAAAGGGTACCGAGCCAAAAAGACCCACACACACACAAGCACACACACACACACCAAAATGGGTTATGGCCCCAAAACTATGGGTGACTTCTTGTTTTTTTTCACTGGATCGTTTGAGGGCCCGGGTATACACCTGGTCTAAGACCTCCGTACCTCCTGTGAAATCTGAGACGCCGAAACGCGTGGCCTGGGCTGTCCAGTGGCCGCTTTTGACCTCGCGAGCACCGGAAGTGGACGGAGAGGTTCCTTGCAAAAAGTAGTCCACTACCCTCCCATCCTCAGCTTCCATGATTTCACCCAAAAGAGCATGACTGATAAAGTGCAGGGATGGGATGGAGAGTGGTACTGAAAGTGCCCTTCGAGGGAGGGTCTGTCATGTAGGTTAGTAATCCTACTATTACTCCCATTAAGTAAGGACGCCTGGTGCGTCGAGCCGGATTTTGCAGTTTCGACCCGATCGGCAACAAGAAGACTAGCAAGGTTCCTGGACCCACAGACTACACTTAAACAAGGAGCATTCACCGCATCATTTTAGGGCGAAGGGTTTGAGGGCCCAAGAAGGCTTGTTTAAGGTTCAATCCGTTTGCCATGTGTCTACCCGCGCGTCATGTCAGGACTGCTCGGCGCGCGCAAGGGGGGGGGGGCTTCTCAAAATGCGTTTCTTCGACCTTTAGGGGGTGCTTGAAAGCGAAACCAAAAGTATGCCAATCATTTTAGGGTACCATCCCAAAAACAAATGTAACATAGAACCTGCACAGGGGTTCCTAGAAGACAATTTTCCTGTTCAGGGGCCCTGTTGTGGGTCTGTTTGTTGTTGGGAGGGTATCCCTATCTTGAGAAGCACCCGTTTTCCGGTGGTCTTGCTTGAAAGGGGGCGCGAAACCCAAAAGGAGTATTACTGTATCGATTCGTTAAATCGTGTGGATCTTACTATCAGTGAGCAAACACTTGCCCACAACAACAAACATGACCATACATCACATATGCACCAGCGCCCGCCAGCAAAACTCGGAAGTGCACCAAGTCAAGTCGCCGTGACCGTTCTGCTGGAAAGCACGTTGCAAAGCAAGAAGAGTATATAAGCAAAAAACCCTGAGGGGTCGGGGTTCTCCATTGGAGGGTCCGGGGGTGTGCATTGGAGGGGTGATGACCCTTAGGCAAAAACCAAAAACATCTTCACCCAGTCGCATGTGGATCTACCGCAGTCGTCCGGAGCAACCATGGAAAAGCAACTAACAGAAAGGCTTGCCAATCCAGGCTAATGCATTTAAAATGCCACCATTCATGTTGACCCCCCATTAATCAACCCCTGTTTATTGATATGGGGGTGCTCCCCTCCAAAAATGATGAACCCCACTAAAGCCAAGGGCGCCCCCATATTAACAAATAGGGGTTGATTATTAGGGGGTTCCATTAATTAACTGAGCACTGCATGGAATTTGCACGAGCCACGCATGAAACCTCCTGCCAGTCCAGTTTGCTTCTTGGGGAGGGGATCGCTGTCACAAGCCAAGCACTGGCCCGGATTAGTATGCAACCCTAGATCTCCGAGACGTGGGTTTTGAGTCTAGCCTAAACTATGCCCACATCTGGGGTACTCCGAAAATGACTATCTTCAGCATCTCCGTCAACTTAATCTGCCCGAACATTGAAAAATGGCTCTGGAGGAGACAGTGCAGGGACCCACAAATGTTGAGGTTCCCCTTGATTCCCGCCCCCCCCCCCCCCCTCCTCCCACCCCCAAAAAAAAGTACCCTCAAAACACACACACACAGACACACACAGACACACACAGACACACACAGACACACACAGACACACACAGACACACGCAGACACACACAGACACACACAGACACACACAGACACACACAGACACACACAGACACACACAGACACACACAGACACACACAATTTTTACAGACACACACAGACACACACAGACACACACAGACACACACAGACACACACAGACACACACAGACACACACAGACACACACACACACACACACACACACACACACACACACACACACACACACACACACACACACACACACACACACACGCACACATGCATACACACACATACATGCATGCGCACCTACATACACACACACACACACCCACGCACACACGCCCACGCACATACGCACATGCGCACGCATGCATGCACCTTTGCCTTATATACATACATAACATACATACATAACATACTTATATACCATGCCCATGCACATGCCTTATACTTATACACATATACATAACACGGGCACGCGGCAGCGCTGTGCGCCCGGGCATATGCCTTATAACCATATACCCCATATTATGCCTGCCTTATCGCTGCCTGCTGTGACATGCAACATCAGGCGCACCAACCGCCTGTTGCCTGGCCTCTGCCTTCAACAACCTGCACCGCCTGCCCCGCTTTGCCTTCTGCCTTTTACCTTTGCTTGCTGCCTTTGCCTTTGCCTTTACCTTTTACATACCACGCATGCAGCACAGCACCCGCACACGCTGCGCACACGCACACGCACACGCACACGCACACGCACCCGCTGCACCACGCACGCACGCACGCCTTTCTTCCCTGCCCCACACACCTGCCTTGCACGCATGCCGCCGCGCCTCCACGCCATCACCCAGCCTGCAGCCTTACCCAACGCCTGTGCTGTATACAGCATCTTGCCTGCTGCTGCTGCCCATGCCTGCCTGCCTTGCCCTGGCCCATGCCGCGCCTGCGGCGCGCAGCACCCCAGCATGCAGCGCACGCATCCGCCTTGCCATGCTGCGCCTGGCCATCACCCATGCCTGCCAGCGCTGCGCGCTGCCCCTGAACCTGAACCTGAGCCTGAACACAGACACAGACACAGACACAGACACAGACACAGACACAGACACAGACAACGAGCCGACACACAGACGACACAGACGACACAGGCAGCACAGACGGTGTGCATAAGCGACAGGCGACACAGCGACACAGACCACCTGGACCGAAACCACAGTGACCTGGCGACACAGACGACACAGACGACACAGGCAGCTGAGACGACACAGACGACACAGACGACACAGGCGACACAGGCGACACAGAGACACACAGACGACACACAGACGACACAGACGACACAGACGACACACAGACGACACACACACAGACACACACAGACGACACACACAGACACACACAGACGACACACACAGACACGCACAGACGACACACACAGACGACACACACAGACGACACACACAGACGACACACACAGACACACACACAGACACACACAGACACACACACACAGACACACACACACACACAGACACACACACACACAGACACACACACAGACACACACACAGACACACACACAGACACACACAGACAGACACACAGACAGACACACAGACAGACACACAGACAGACACACAGACAGACACACAGACACACACACAGACAGACACACAGACACACACACAGACACACAGACACAGACACACACAGACACACACAGACACACAGACACAGACACAGACACAGACACAGACACAGACACAGACACAGACACAGACACAGACACAGACACACACAGACACAGACACAGACACACACAGACACACACACAGACACACACACAGACACAGACACAGACACAGACACAGACACAGACACAGACACAGACACAGACACACACACACACACACACACACACACACACACGCGCACACACACACACACACACACGCACACACGCACTTGTGTATAGTTTGCTCATACAGGATCCTCCCGCATGGACGTGCAGCCTTGTGGCACACGTTCATTTTGGAAGGCGAGCCGGTTTGTACTATGCATGGCTCAACCCCCCCCCGTACCGCCGTACAACATGTCGCTGTTGAACTGCCATACAGCGCTGTCCTCAGATCCCCCGCTACAAGTTTAACTTTTTCTTGGTTAAATGGCCATGGGTCAAAATCCCGTACCCCTAGTGAACATGCCAATCCCCACTAAAATAGACCAAAATGGGTGGTGCACCCACCCCAAAATGGTACCATTGGTTTTGACCCGCAGCCAAATGGACATCCCCTCTGAACACTAAACGGCTAAAAAGCTAAGGAACCGGATGGCTGGGAGCCACCAAGCGTACACTACTCATTCATTCAACAGTTGAAGTCTAAAGATCCAACCATTGGTTGCCAAGCAACCAACTACCAGCCGAGTGTACTATCTTTGCTTGCATGACGTGTCCTGTACCCCAAACATTCAGTAGGGTATGATGTTTAAAAGGGAACCACATTAAGAGTAGCGAAGAGTAGTTGGTAGACATGAATTCCGGCCTAAATGATGTCCACAAAAGGGCCGCAACTACAATTCACATCCAATTCTGTGCCCAAATAGAGGGAAACCCCGAACAAAAATGAGCGGTTTTCCTTTCGCCCTCTTAAACCAACCTGAAAAGGGTACCTGGACTCAAACTTCCATAGCAAGGGGAGTTCACCCCATTTGTTTGGGGCAAGAACCCATTTATGGGTAGTTCTTTCGGGTCCAGGTCCCCTCAAACCACCATTACCCAGTTGAGTCATAATCAAACCATAACCATGTAAAGCATTACGAAGGCGGCCGCAGCTATTTATGGTTGGGAGTATCCCTTGCTAACCTTCATCTAATTACCTGAAGTCTCCATGACCCTGAAAAATGCGAGCATTACCCAAAATGAAGGGGTCATGACCCCTTTTCTCTAGGGCTCAGAAGGAGACTCCAGGTTGCCATGCTTTTCTTTTTTTTTCCGGTGGCTCAGAGCTCAACCAAAGCGGCCAACCTCCCCGAACCCTCCCCCCCCCCGGAACCCGAAACCCGCCTGCGAAGACGTTGAACCCGTTGCCGCCCTTCCCAAAGCTCGGGGCCTTGCCGCCTTTGCCTCACCGTTTTCCGGGTCAGATTCAGGAAAAGCCCGGGTCCGTGGCAATGGCGTTCTTCCATTTGCTGAAGTTTTCTGGAAAACAGAAACAAGATGTCCAGTAGTGAAATCGATTCCCTTTAAAGCCAGCAGGGGGAAACAAACCATATTAACCAAATGGAAGCTTTGAAGAAACACCCTTCAATGTGTGGGGAAAAGAGAAAAGCGGAAAAAAACACAGCATGAGGGAATTGGTTATGGTTCCGAAAATGATCATCCATAGTGGAAAGACGCACTTCCCATCGAGTGGAGGGCCCAACAAAGCGTGCAACTACTCTTGCATGCCACTAAAATTGTCTTTCCAAAAAGGGAGACGCTGGAAGAATTCACATCATGAGGGAATTGGTCATGGTTTAGGAAAGAAAATGATCACAATGTCACCAGGGACCGACCCCAACTAGGTCCTCCAATAAAAAACAAATAAAACAAAGGGTCCAGCTTCTTTTCAGTGCCCTCGATTCATTTTTTGGGTGTTATGATCCATTTTGAAAATAAGGGCACTTAGTCCTAAATCAAAGAGGTCACTTAAGCCATTTAAAGGGCACTTAGACCCTGAAGGTTGCCCTCGCCAGCAGATCCCTCCTCAGTCCGGGCAAATCAAGTCGCAGCGACACGTGAATGCGAATGACACTCACACGGGGGCGGGACCGACGCTGGGCAAATCGAGCCGCAGCGACACGCAAATGACACTCACGCAGGGGGGACCGACACTAGCGTAAGTGACCTTTTCAAGGGGTAAGTGACCTCGATTCGCATTCCAGTGACACTCAAATGACACGCTTTGACACTCAAAACGCCATGTTCGGGCTTTCCGGGTCGGCGCCAATCAAATGTGGCAGTTGTCACGCTTCGACACGGGTGGCTCTTCGATTTCAACAGAATCCCAACCCCTATCAAGCTAAAAAGGGCACTTAGCAAACGAATCAAAGGGGCACTTAGGCCACCGACACTGCCTTAAGTGCCCTCGATTCAAAAACAGGCCAAGTGCCCTCCATTGGAGGGCACTAAAAATATGCTGGGTACCCTTTTTTCCCGGTAGTCAATCTTAGCAGGGGAACCCTTAGCTGGGGCAGCGAGCCCAAAGTACCCCTCAAGAACCCGAGGACCACCGTCAGGTCCGCGTTTCCGTTTTTCCGCCGGGCGGCTCGGCGCCAAGCTGGGCGTGGGATACGCCGGCCGCACCGGCGCCACGTGCACTGGGGGCAAGGAAGCAGACCAGGCCTGACGCGCGCACCATGGAATCTTCAGGGGGGCTATGGGGGGGGGGCCTATCCCTGGACAAGCCCAGGATAACCCAAGGATAAGCCCTTAATAAGCTCAGTTAATCAGTGACCCTGGAAAAAAAGAATTGGAACCCTTTTTGGGGAAGACCATTTTTAGTGGGCCGGCCACCAGAAAAAAAGGGGGAAAAGGAATTGGTGCCACTGAACAACTGAGTAAGGCCTTATTAAGGGCTTAAGGGATAGCCCCCCTCCCCAGTTCGCCCCCCTTGGCAGTCCATGAGCGCAGCGGCGCGAAGCGAAAACGTCCGGTCGAGTCGCGCCGGCGTCCGGCCCCCAGGTTTGCTCAGCATGGACCAAATGCGATTCGTTGCACCGGTCTTGTACTCAGCACGAGTCAGTATGTTGCCAAAAATATATCCACCATATGCAGACAAGCCCACTAACTCACTTGGCTTTGGGGCTTTACAATACAGACGACCCGCAGGGCCTTTGTTACGCACAGTTCAAAAACAAAAATGTCAACAGCGCAAAGCTTCGCCTGTATTCCAGCCAGCCCAGCAACAGCCCAATGTGTGTGTGGGTGTGTGTTGCGAATTCAAATACTATTTCCAAGTACCTGAACCTTGACCCTCAAACTATCCTTAAAACTGGATTGTTGCTGCAAAATTATGGGGTCAACTCCCTTGTTTATGGGCAGTTTGAGGGTCCACTTTGTAGGTTCAGCATGGCTTGCTCGCATGACCGGTCGCTTTTGGGGGGTTCTCATAAAACAAGTGTGCAACTAGCAACCGAAACTTGGAAAAGAAGGACATCCACTGGGACAATCATTTGGGCAGCCCTAAGGCTCCCGATTGTTTTTGGGCCCTCAACATGGGTTGTTTTCCCAAGGGCTCCTGAGGAATTGGTCCTGGTTCTTCATTGGAGGGCCCTGAGCCTTAGGCAGCTTGGAACTAGGCAAAGCATCAGGTGTTAACCCACAAAAGCCAGGGTTCAAATCCTCAATTGACGAGCCACCCATTCTGACACACCTGGTGTGTTCCAAACAAAAACCTGGACCCTCAAACTATCCAAAAAAAAATGAGTTCTGGCCCCCAACAGATGCTTGGTGGATGCCTTTTTTCATGGGTAGTTTCTTCTGATTCAGGTACTTCAAATACCTCAATGTTGTTTGGTGGGTTTTTTGAACAACCGATCGGATTGTCCGTTGCAAAATCCTGGACCCTCACACTACCAAACAAAAGGTTGGACTTCACCCACCATAACTTTGGGTTGCAACTCACCCCATTTTTCAAGTTGCCATTTTGAGGCTCGGTCCAGGTACGTTTTTTGCTTTTGAGACGATCTCATTTTGAGCGAAACCCCATGACTTGCTGGTGCAATAGGCAGGGTTCTTGAGAAATGGACTGACCCCAAGAAAACCCTCCAACTGGTGGTTTCCTTTAAGGGGGCCAAAACCCGAAACGGTTCATTCTAGAACCCCCTGTCCTTTGAGGGTACCCTGGTGGTTTCCTTCTGAAGCCTTCTTTTCAAGCAAACCCCTTTTTATCTTGGTGCTCAGTGAATGTGGGAATGAACCCATTCCCGAATAAAGGAAGCCACCACCCGGAGTCTCCGTGACCCTCAAAAACTGGGGTCATTACCCAAACTAACGGGGCATGGACCCGTTTTTCAAAGGGTCATGGAGACTCTAGGCAGTTGGATATGCCATGGGTCAAAATCCCATACCTCCAGTGAACATCCCAATCCCCACGAAAATAGGTTCTAAAATGGGTGGTGAATTCACCTACCAACCAAAATGGGATCCCATTTGTTTTGACCCACAGCCACGTGGGCGTGGCTCAAAATGAAAGAGCCAGGGTTACGCAGGTTTAGTCGTTGAGTGAATTTACCAAGGTGCTATTGTGGTGCATGTTTTTGAGCCACAGCCACAAAAAAAAGCTTATCTCAAGGTCATTCCGTCACATTCCCCACCTCTCACCCGCGGCAACAAAAAGAAGAAAAGACCGCCTGGCTCGGGCTCGGAAGAGCTGCTTTCGGCTTCTTGGCCTTGGCCAGGCCTCGTTCGGGAAAAAATCCGACAGGGAGGTTGCTCAACGTGGTACCTGGTTTAACGTGTGGGTGGACACTCATGTGCATGTGTATATATGTATATATATATGTATATATATAAACAGATACTTTATTAATATCTGTATATATATATATATACATATATAAAGAAATATAGAAATATATGTATATATATATATATATATGTTGATTCATGTATGCATATGTCTATCTCTCTATACATATTATATATATATATATATATATATATATATATATATATATATATTATGCCCGGACCCGCAAACATAGCAGGACAACTGGGTTATTATTGCTCAAACATTTGGGTTGATTTTCCCCTTTTTATGGGCAGATTCTTCGTGTTTAATGGACAACCCATTAGCTGGCAAAAAGTTAAAGTCCTAACATCCAAGCAGAATGCACCAAAGTCACGCAAGTTGCTTGTTTCCCCTTTCTGGTGGTGTCTTTGGGGGGTGAGTGGCGATCGTGGCCGATCGACCCACTTACAACATGGCTAACTTCATTTAGAGGACCTTGCAAGTGGGATACAGAGGCAACCCCTGCACCTATGGATAAAATCCACAAATACATATGGGGATATAGCACGTATTAGTTGCCGTATTTATTATGTTGCATTTCGTTTGATTTATTATATATATGCAAATAAACATACGCTAATTTCAAAATCCTCACGGTAAAACCCAAATTGCTATTGGGATAAGCCACCTACCGCCTGGTGCATGGTTTTGTCCATCCACGTATCGCCCAGGTCGGCTCAGGTCGCTTCTTGCCAACTGGCCGAATTCGGAAGTCATGCAGTTGTGGAACCATGGTTACGAAATTCCGCACCGTGGGAATGGGCGAGCGTCAAAAAGAAAAAGAACGAACCCAACAACCCAAACCAAACCAAAGCAAACTCCTTGTGAGCGATGGCCCTGCCCCAAACCCAAACCAAGAGGTTTCTGCCAGCACTGTCTCCTATGTCTTTTTTGAAAAGAGGCGACCCCTGGAAATGGAACTCGCCGGCCCTTGACAACCATCAGACACTGGTCCCTACCTGCGTGGCCCTTTGAACGACTTTGTCAAATCCTCGCCTTTGGACGGTGGCGCTTGAAGCTTCCCCTCGGAGAAGTCCTGGAGCGTCCAAACGCTTTGGAAGTATCCCCGGCTGGTCAGTACCGTGGGTTTGTGGATCTTCGGCGGAGTCTGGTGGGTCTACTATGATGAAATACGCGACTCGGTGACAGCCGCTTTTTTGTTATGTGGGTCGGTTCATCGGGTCCTGTGGATGGACGAAATCCAGTTCGCACCAAATTGAAAGCACGGGAAGCCATTGCTTGTTGGTATTTACGTTGGGGAATCGGATCATTTTAGGGTTCCTTAGGTCCTAGGTGCAAGATTTCGTCCATCCACAGTGGGAGTTCCCCTCCAAAAGTGGTCTGATTCCAACCACGAAACCCAGAAATGGACATCCCCCTATTCCATACACTGGGCTGATTTTTTTTGGGGTCAAAATTAGGTTAGAACCATTTTTATAAGGCAGCCAACCCTAGATGCCAAGTAGGTGAGCAGTTGATCCTTTTAGTCGTGATTCCATGGACGTCGCTTGAGGTTCCAAATTGATTTTTCTACCCTGCAAACAGGATCAACGTTTGGCTAGTGGCATCAAAGTCGCACTCTTTTGACCAGACTTCCCCACAAAAAGGAGTGTCTCAAGAATCTGGTTTTCCAGCCTGGCACCAGGCTCCATTTGATCAACTCAACTCACACATCGCGGTGCCCCCCCCCCAAAAAAAAAAAAAAAGAAGAAAAAAAAGCAGGGGCCCTCCGGGTCAAGGCACTTCAAACCAAATGCCGAAAGCCATAAAACCAAAAAGCCCATGGACTTGGCCCTGAAAGCCACACCGAGACCCCGAGGCTCGGGAGATCCGAGTCGTCTCGCAGCCCTCTGGCCACCGGTGAGGCCCCCAGCGACCCAGGATTTGGTCTGATGGATGGGACTGAACCCTCCAACTGCCCCCAAAACCAAATGGAAAACGTGAATTTTGAAACCACGAAAAAATTCCGGGTGGCCATTTTGGGCGATACCGTTTCCCCCGTATTTGTTTGTGTGTTCCGGGGCGATTTCGAGGGTCCCGGATCCATCCAGTCGGGTTGCGAAGCAACCTGGCCCAACCAGGCCATAACCCCGAATCGGGTCTGACCAAAGCAACAGGGGGGAGCTTGGCTGACTGTGAGGTCCACAAAAGCAGGTACCCCAAAATAAGCTCCCCCGTGGCTGAGAAGAAGTAACACCTGCGGTCCGATTCCTGGTGACGAATTTTGACCCATAATGACCCCATATTGATCAACCCCGGTTTGATAATAGGTCTGATTCCCCACTAAACCGGGGACTGGGGTTGATTAATTTTGGTTCTGCACCTTGGCAAAGCTCCTCAATGGCCTGATCCACGTGAAGGATGCCGTCCGGCGGTGTGCCACCTGATCGCTCGAGAGCGAATTTCGGTTGCCTCACCAAACAAAGTGGTTGATCCTGGACCCTATTTGGTGAACCATTCGCTTAAGCCCCGAATCCAACGAGCAAATATCCGCACCATCAGGTCCCAGAAAGACGGGATTGTGCCCTAAGCAGAGGTCGGACCCTCTGGGGTTGGGCCCTGCGGGCCCAGTGGCTGTGGATGCCACATGTTTGCGAAGAGAAATCCGACTTTTGAGGGCAACCTCCAATCAAATTGACCGCCCTGACGAATTGGCAAGATCTGTCCTTTTGCAGGGGCCAAAGAAGGCAGGAGGTCATCCCCAATAGGAGAGATTTGCCATGGAACCCCATGTTGGTCAAAATAGTAGTCAGTCTCGGTGGTTACATGGGCCATTGGGCCCCTGGTTTACCTGCCATAACCTTTACATACCCACTGTTTAATCGGTATCCAAGCTTTTTCCTTGGCCACAAGCTGCCCAAACTGCAGGAAGGTCGCTCGAAAAAACGGTCGGGCCCTTAAACAACCACCCTGCAGGTCGGTTTTGGGTCATCCAAAAGGTCCTTTTGAAGCTGCGGGTTCTCTTTTGGAGTGTCGGTTTTTTCATAGGGGCCATGAGCCTTAGGGGCAAATGGCTTGGGGAAAAAAAGCCTCCAAAGTGCTTGGTGGACTGAATCATATCCACCAAAGACCAAACCATTCAAGTTCACACCCAGATGAGACAGCACCACCCTTCTCTGCCCCAGGCCCTCCCCCGCCCTGCCTTCTTGTGTGAGCGGCAAAGGCAAAGCACCGGCCTGTGCGGCAAGGCAGTCGCGACCAGTTTTGGCCAGCCTCGCACTGGGTGAAAAAAGGATGGAATCCCTCATCCTAACCCATACCCCGCAGTGGGACATCACCTCAAAAACTCTTAAAAACTTGGTTTTCGCAAAAAACAAATGGGGAGAACTCCCTTTTTGTGGGTAGTTCTTTCGGGTCCAGGTACAACCAGGGCAACCAACAATGAGAATTGACCCCATGCATCAGTTGACCCAAAGCATCGGGGCCAAGACTTCCGTTGGTTTTGATTCTGCACCTCAAGGGCAACGAGTTTAGGCCCGTTCAATGCTTAGGGCTTGGGACGTTTTGAACAGCCAACGCAACTAGTGTGACTTGAAGTGATCCTCAAAATATGTTTTTCCTTTTGGCCTTGTTGTTTGTTAAACAAAGCCCAGGGGCATGTTCTCGCCAGTGTTGCAGCATGCAATTTGCCAATCTACCCGAGTTCTAGCAGTGGAACAAACAACAAGACTCACTTCCTGAGTGGATTGGCCAGAACAAGTCTAAGCTTTTTGCTTGCCACTGCCTTCCCAAAAAAATTAAAGTCCAGGAACTGGGGGAGTTAGAAGAAGGGCAAACCGTTCAAACTAACAGTCTGAAGACACCAAACCCAACGTTATTGTCTGGGTTCCACGAACACCAATCTCCAATCTTAGAGGCAGCTAGTTTTCTCTTTGGGTTCCACATGAGCTCACATAAAAATGGCGGGGCCGGAACATGCCTGTCCCAAAGAGGTGTCTTAAGTCAACGGGTCCCTGTCAGTAAATCATGTTTGTTGGCAGGGGCCTTTGGTTTGACCCCGGGAAGTACTTGTCATCGGGCACACTCGGGGGTTGATTAAACTAGGTCCTCGAGTAGAGAAGTTTGAATAAGGGTAGCCTTTTTGCTGTAGTCTACTTTAGTAGGGGAACCCTCCCCCCAAAAAAGCAACGGTAAAAGGGCACCTAGCTGGGGGACCATGGGGTTAACTTTTCCCATATGGACCTTTTGATCAACAAAGCGCATCTACTGAACGGCTTCCCGACTCTTCGCGCAGCTCCTCTCCGAGGAGGAATGAAAGGAAGTACCCGGGCCAGCCCAAGAGTCCCTGAGACTAGGTTCTTTAGTTTTTCAGCTACCCCCTCAGCCAGAAAACGGCTGCGAGAAACTATGTTTGAGTCAAACCTGACATCTACATGTCTCTGCTTTTCTTTGAGGCTACCTTTGTTTGCTGGCTTGTAAAGGGAAACCAAAAGCACCACCCAAACCGGGGCTCCGAATCCAAGACCATTCCGCACCCTCCGAAATCGGATCGGAGGACAGAAGCACCAGGCCAGGGATCCTTTTTGTCACCCTAAAATTGTGTGGGGTTCAGTGCCATAACTATAACCCATTGTTTAAGGGAACTCTTTGCGGGTTCAGGTAAACCTTTCACCAATGGAAAAAAGACCTGGGTTTAAGTTAAAGCATAGTCCGAAATGGGTAACACCGACGACCTCTTTTTGTTCTTCCATGTCAAAGTGAGTCCAGCTTCTCCCGAACTTGGCTGCAGTCACCTCCATTCCCCGGGTCGCCCCATGTCACCACCTCAGCAGTTATGTCCTGGCGAAAAAGAAAAAAAAAGGAGGACCCCTTGCTTGGCTGGACGTACCAAAAACATGGGGCACCATACATGGAAAACTGTTTTGTTCTCGTGTTTTTTGCCGAACATAAAATGGGGCACCAGCTCTTCTTGGTTGAAATATGTAACTTTCCAAGGGAAGCACTCCTTTCAGAGTTGGAAAAAAAGAAGAAGAATAAAACATCTGCTGCGCGGGAGAAGGCCACTGTGCCATCCGCCAGAAGGGCGGCAAAGGCAAAGTCGGTGGATTGGATCTGCTGCACTCCCTTCAGCTGATCTTGAACCTCGCCATCGAACAGACGGCTTCCCTTTAAAACCCAGTAGGGAGAATCACAATATATTTTAGGTCCTCCAGTAGAGAGGTTAGAATAAGGGTACCAACTTTGTTCTATCTATTTGAGCAGGAAACCCTCCCCCAAGAAAAAAAGCGATGAAAGGTCACTACTGGGGGACCTAGGATTTCTTTCTTACAACTCCGAGTGGATCCCAAAAAGGTCCGAATCCCTGGCGAAACTTGCCTGTTGGCCTGTTAGGTGCAAAAGGTTTCCCTTGGTTACCTATACAGGGAAATGGAATCACTAAGGGTCCCAAGCATCAAACGGCCCTCAAGAAGGTATCTGTTTGAATAACAGTCAAGACCTTCCAAGGGAGGTCTTTTTCCCCCTTCAATGACGAGCCAAATGATCCTCAGGGCCTGAGCGTCGCTAAGTGATCAATCCTTGCTCCCTGCTCCAAACACCAACTTGTTGTTCGGGTGTTTCTCCCAAAACCAGGTTTCCTAGGGTAAATACATCCTTTTTAAGCCAGAGGTTGACATGATGCGCTAAAGAATGCGGGTATTTGGAGTGGGGGGTATTCTCCTATTCACATTCCTAGAATTGGCTGCAAAGTACCTGAGCCCAGAGTAGACAAGCCAAAGTCCGAACCTTTCTGTCCACGTAACAGTACAAAGTCCAGCAACTCAGGGAGCGATTGGTCAAGCCTTCTTTTTTCTTCCAAACGGATATCGCCTTGCACAAACACAATATCTTATTTGAAGAGTGAGCCTCCTTTTGGAGACATAGGTGGGGAGGCTGTTGACACCAAAATCTGAGAAAATATTGGGGAATGGGAATGAACCTCCCAACGAACAATATTGATACAGGGCATCCAATCCTCTGTTTATAAGGGAAGAAACACTTGCCTGCAGATCATGGACCCCAAAAAGTGGCTCCTGTTCAAGGGACATTCGACTTCAAAGAGATAATTATCAGGTCCTCAGGTGTTGGGTCCCATCTGAAGAGATTCGGGTCCTTAGAAGAGGTCCAGGGTTCCCAGGCTTGCCCGGTGATGGACCTTTTGTAGTGTGGGCCCTGGATTGATAAGCCCGTCCTATAGGATATCTATAGGGGGGTGTCTTATAAAAGTGGTCTGAATCCCCACTAAACGAGGACACCCCCCTATTGATCGACCAGTTGATGAATCCGGGGTCAGCATGAAGGGAAAAGCCAAACTTGTTTCTAAAACTTGCATTTGGTTAAGACCCCTGGAGAATAAAAAAGCCAGTAGCGATAATTTCCTTTTAATACCAACAAGGGAAACTAAACAATATTCATTTCAGCAAGTCGAAGAAAAGGTCCGAAACACGGGGGCGATTCGATCACACCCAATCTTGGTTGCTGTTGACCCCTCTGCAAAAAGTTTAACTTTTTGCTGTTTAGTGGAAGCACCTGTATTTGCCAAAAAGTTAAAGTCTAAAGATCCGTTGCCCAATAGCAGTCAAGCAATTTCCCGCCCAAAGCGCACCTGGCTGCTGTCACCCCCACTTCCTGGATCTCCCCACGTGACCACCGAGCCGTCCATGCGAATGGCCGCAAAGGCGCTGTCCGTGGATTGGATAGCTTGGACCTGTGTCAGCTGCTTCCCAACCTGGCGACTGCAAACATCCAGCTGCAGCCATCGGTGTCCTTTTTGGGACAAATAGATGGATATCCCTGGTAGTTGCTTGAACCGCCATGGAAACCAGGAATCGCCCTCTATTTTCTAACCAAATCAACCAAAAAGGACATCTATGGCTGCACCTTTTTGTCGGCCAACTTTCATGTTGGACACCCTCTGAAAAAAGAGAACGAAGGGCACTGGAGGTCTGATGAAAAAACGCATCACATCTTGGCTTGACAGGTTTCCTTCTAGGAAATCCCAAGGCTATTTGTTGGCACCCAGCAACGTGGCTGCTGTCTCCGCCGCACGCTGCGTCGCCCCAAGATATCACGGAGCCGTCCTTTCGAATGGCAGCAAAGGCACAGCTGGTTGCCTGGATCTGCTGGACGTTGATCAACTGCTCTGAAATCTGGCTGCTGTCACCACCTCAATCGCTTTAGGACCTGAAAATTGAAAAGGTGATCACCTTTTCGTAACCTTCACTAATATGGACCAAAGCAGGAAAACAGGTCGACAGGTGAGATCCGTTTGGTTGCAAGTGAGCCACCACTGTCCACATCACCCCAAGTCACGACCGCGCCATCACTCCGAATGGCAGCAAAGGCCCCGTCAGACGCCTGGATTTGCTCAATGTGAACCAGCCGCTCTTGCACCGAGCTGCTGTCACCCCCATACCTGCAGGCAGAGGGAACCCGCCTTGGTTTAGGAAACCAATGACCGAATGGGACGAATCCGTTCTGTTGAGACAGGCCCAGTTTAAACTCTTCGCGCGTGGAACTTGACAGAGATGACTTGCATGTTCCTCTCAACCCTCAGGTGGGCCGAAACGTTTCTCGTGCGTTCGTGGACGGGACAGCAACTTCCAGAAACAACACGTTTTGCTTGTTTCAGCAAACAACTAGGTCCTCCAGTAGAGAGGTTAGAAGAAGGGTACCCGATTTTTCTGTAGTCTATTTTAGTAGGGAGCCCCTCCCAACCAAAAAAGAAACGGTAAAAGGGCACCTAGCTGGGGGACCTAGATGAATCAGACAAGTAATGGTAAAGGGTCCTAGCAAAACAGCTGCCAACCGCTGTGACAGAAGACTTGCGTCCACGCTGGTGCCACTCAAGGGTGGGCTGGCCCCTAACATTCATTAATCCGGTTCGACATTGTAGGTTCAACCCTTGAACCCTTCATCTACTTCATCAGCCTACTAACCCCTGCAGCTCATACGGACATAGACTTGATTTAGGAACCTTTGATGGACATCATTTTGGTGGGGATGCGTGTCCACCCGCCATGTTTGAGGGAGCTTCGACTCTGACAATTCATACCTGGCCTGTCAAACTAATTACCCTGAAAGGGATGTCACCAACCATACCCGGGGGTTCAAACCACCAGTACAACAAAGGGTGGGTCATATAACCACCATTGTTTACCAAAGGATTATCATCATCCAAGTTGCGTCAACTACTCAT